TAGCTGTTGAGTGACAAACTGATCCAGGCCCTTCAGATTGTTGTCAGTTTTCTGCATGTGAGCCAGAAGCAATTCTTCAAGTTGTGGTTTCTTCTCTGGTGGAGGTGGAGGTTGTTGTTTCTGCATGCCTGGAGGTGGAATGTTGCGAGCACCATTTGGGTTGTTGTTCGCCCAGGAAAAGTTAGGATGCTTCCTCCATTGTGGGTTGTAGGTATTCGAATACATACCACCCTGGCCTTGATTTCTCTGATTGTTGATATAGTGCACATCTTCCACCTGATCAGCCACCAGTGGACATAGATCCCTATGATGAGCACCTTCACATAACTCGCAATAAGCAACCTCCTCCTGTCTTCCAAGAGCCAACTTAGCCAGCCTTCGTTCGAGTGCATCGAACTTGGAGTCCAGCTTAGCATCAATCTTTGCTTCTAAGCTTGCAACTCTGTCTGTCTCATGCAAGCCTCCTCTCCTTCGAATGCCGGTCTCACTACCCCATTCAGTGTCTTCAGAGCATATCTTCTCCACCAGTTCATATGCTTCTGGTGCTTCCATTCTTGTGAAACCATTCCGGGAAGCATTGTTCAGAGCATCTCGGTATTGCCTTCTGATTCCGTTGAAGAAGATGGAGATCACATTCCAATCTTCAAGACCGTGGCTCGGGCATCTCATTAGAAGCTCCTTATAGCGCTCCCATGCCTCGGTCAGACTTTCATCCTCAGCTTGTTTAAAAGTGACAATTTCCTCTTGCCTCTTCATTGCCTTGGCAGGAGGAAAGTACTTATCCAAAAAGGTCTTCTCAAGCTGACCCCATGTTGTGATGGAACGGGGTGTCAAGTTCTGGAACCAGTGGGATGCACTTCCTAGCAGAGAAAACGAGAACATCCGAAGACGGATGGCATCATCAGACACAGCCGGGCTCTTCATAGTGTCACAAATGTTTGCAAACCGGCGGAGATGCTCGTGAGGATCCTCGGTGCTGGCCCCGGAGAAGGTGTACCCATTCGTGATCATATTGATGAAAGCTGGGGCAATCTCCATGTTTGCATCCCCAGCCGGAATGACAACACATGAAGCTCGGGCTCCAGTCCTCCGATTCAGACGAGCCCTGATCGAACGATCTTGTTCAGCCATGATGACAGGCTCGATGACGCGCGGCGGTGGTGTAAGTGGTGTAGGGATGACAGGTGGTGTCACCTGCCTTCTCGGTTGACGATTCTGAGTTAGGGAAGGCCTAGGAGTTGTGGATGTGGTAGGCTGCTTCCCTAACTTGACCTGCTTCCTGTTCTGTCGGCAGTTCCTCTCGATCTCGGGATCTAGTGGCAGTAAATTGCCAGTCGTCCTCCTTGGCATGCACGAGGAGGATTAGCCTGAAAAATTCACCTGCACACTAACACCCAGATCAAAACAGTTCACTCACAAAAATCAATAAAAATAAGGTATGGCAGTCCCCGGCAACGGCGCCAAAAACTTGATAGGGCAAAAGCGTATGCCTTAATCCTATCTTGTAGTAAAACCGGAAAGTCCGGGTATCGTCTCTCAGGGACTGGTACAACCTTATGATTTATCAATTCTTTCGAGCAAACTATATGTGAAAATGTTTAAGAGATGAAATTATTAACTATTAGCAAAATAATTAAACTAATTAAGCAAAGTAAACTTGTCGAGGAAAATTCAATGGGAGAAAGCTCTGGGAGAAACACCGGGATTCACTACCTATCCTATCCAGATTAATTCACATATTCCAATCAATTTAATCCATACCTCTACAGCCAGGATATCACTACTGTGCTAGCTATCCCTGTCGGGAATTACTACGTACTAAATAATCAATTCAAATCCTACTGTCGTAGCTCAATGAATTAACTATATAGCCTGAAGATCGATATCCTATTTAAGACCGCATAACACCTTATTTAATCCACTGTCGCTTCGATAAGTTACTATGTCACATGAAACAGGTTCAGTTAATAGGGTTTCACTGTCGCTAATAACCTAATTAACTACAAATCGTTGTATTGGTGGCCAGTCAACACAAAGCATTAAGAAATTTCATGCAATAGAGATTGGAAGAAAAGAATCATGAATCAATCCATCAAATCAAGAAATAGCTACATCCTATGGTGTTTCCCCCAGAAATTGGGGTTTAGTTCATGACGAAATTAAGATAAATCGATAGGGTTTTGTTCATCATGTTCTAAATCAACAAGAAACAACTAATTAGGTTCAGAAAATCCAACCAACTAATCGCTCTCGTTGCACTCAGCTCAGGTAGCCTTGAAAATCTCAATCGCCGATGGGAATCGACTGATCGCTGGATGCGTGCTGCTGCCTTGCGCTTTCTTTCTCTTCTCCTCCAAGAATTCCGCCCGCGACCTCTCTATTCCTTCTCCGCCAGCTCCTTCCTTCCTTTCTTTTCTTCTTTTTTTTTTCCCAAGACCTTCCGCTGCCTTTTTCCCCAAAAAGAAATCCGCCCTCCTCAAGAATTCCTTTGGGCTTTGGCCCACTTCCTTTTCTTTCTTCCTTCTGGATTTTTCTGGACCACAGTCAAATGGCCGCCCACAAAAATTGCTCCCTTTAATTGCTTCCCAATTTCTGGCCGGCCCAATTCTTCTTCCTTTCGGGTTCCGCCAATCCCCCTGGCCCATGTCATTAATCCCCTTTCAGCTGGGCTTTAAGCCCAGCATTCGAGAATTGTTTGCCGGTGCAACTTCTTTTTCGTGTTTTCTTCACCTGTAATACATCAAACTCATGGCACTAGGCAGTAATGGTTTTTCAACCATTCTCGGGTTAGCGAGCCCTAAAATAGCACCAATTGGCTAAAACATACCATGGATAATCACATAAAGTCCAAGAATTCAATATGTTAAAGCCGATTATCAGTACTCTCCACCAACGATGAAGTCTAGCAATGGCCGATTTGGTCGGAAATTTGGTCGAATTTTTCCGGGGGGCATTTTCGTAATTTTTAGGCGCTTTTTTCGAAAGGCCATTTTCCTTGGGTTTTGAAGGGTGCAGATCACGGATTCAGCCTGAGGCTATTCTTAAGGGATGAATAAGTCTATTAAACGGGGTTTGGGGCGGAAACATTCCGGGGCAATTTTTGCCAGTTTCCAAAGGGGTACCATCACCGATTTCGGGCGATTTTATGGAAAGTCCATTTTCCTTGGATTTTGAATGCGACGGATCACATATTCGGCCTTAGGGTTCTCTCCACAAACGATGAAGTCTAGCAATGGCCGATTTGGTCGGAAATTTGGTCGAATTTTTCCGGAGGGCATTTTCGTAATTTTTAGGCCCTTTTTTCGAAAGGCCATTTTCCTTGGGTTTTGAAGGGTGCAGATCACGGATTCAGCCTGAGGCTATTCTTAAGGGATGAATAAGTCTATTAAACGGGGTTTGGGGCGGAAACATTCCGGGGCAATTTTTGCCAGTTTCCAAAGGGGTACCATCACCGATTTCGGGCGATTTTGTGGAAAGTCCATTTTCCTTGGATTTTGAATGCGACGGATCACAGATTCGGCCTTAGGGTACTCTCCACCAACGATGAAGTCTAGCAATGGCCGATTTGGTCGGAAATTTGGTCGAATTTTTCCGGAGGGCATTTTCGTAATTTTTAGGCGCTTTTTTCGAAAGGCCATTTTCCTTGGGTTTTGAAGGGTGCAGATCACGGATTCAGCCTGAGGCTATTCTTAAGGGATGAATAAGTCTATTAAACGGGGTTTGGGGCGGAAACATTCCGGGGCAATTTTTGCCAGTTTCCAAAGGGGTACCATCACCGATTTCGGGCGATTTTGTGGAAAGTCCATTTTCCTTGGATTTTGAATGCGACGGATCACAGATTCGGCCTTAGGGTACTCTCCACCAACGATGAAGTCTAGCAATGGCCGATTTGGTCGGAAATTTGGTCGAATTTTTCCGGAGGGCATTTTCGTAATTTTTAGGCGCTTTTTTCGAAATGCCATTTTCCTTGGGTTTTGAAGGGTGCAGATCACGGATTCAGCCTGAGGCTATTCTTAAGGGATGAATAAGTCTATTAAACGGGGTTTGGGGCGGAAACATTCCGGGGCAATTTTTGCCAGTTTCCAAAGGGGTACCATCACCGATTTCGGGCGATTTTATGGAAAGTCCATTTTCCTTGGATTTTGAATGCGACGGATCACAGATTCGGCCTTAGGGTACTCTCCACCAACGATGAAGTCTAGCAATGGCCGATTTGGTCGGAAATTTGGTCGAATTTTTCCGGAGGGCATTTTCCTAATTTTTAGGCCCTTTTTTCGAAAGGCCATTTTCCTTGGGTTTTGAAGGGTGTAGATCACGGATTCAGCCTGAGGCTATTCTTAAGGGATGAATAAGTCTATTAAACGGGGTTTGGGGCGGAAACATTCCGGGGCAATTTTTGCCAGTTTCCAAAGGGGTACCATCACCGATTTCGGGCGATTTTGTGGAAAGTCCATTTTCCTTGGATTTTGAATGCGACGGATCACAGATTCGGCCTTAGGGTACTCTCCACCAACGATGAAGTCTAGCAATGGCCGATTTGGTCGGAAATTTGGTCGAATTTTTCCAGAGGGCATTTTAGTAATTTTTAGGCGCTTTTTTCGAAAGGCCATTTTCCTTGGGTTTTGAAGGGTGCAGATCACGGATTCAGCCTGAGACTATTCTTAAGGGATGAATAAGTCTATTAAACGGGGTTTGGGGCGGAAACATTCCGGGGCAATTTTTGCCAGTTTCCAAAGGGGTACCATCACCGATTTCGGGCGATTTTATGGAAAGTCCATTTTCCTTGGATTTTGAATGCGACGGATCACAGATTCGGCCTTAGGGTACTCTCCACCAACGATGAAGTCTAGCAATGGCCGATTTGGTCGGAAATTTGGTCGAATTTTTCCGGAGGGCATTTTCGTAATTTTTAGGCGCTTTTTTCGAAAGGCCATTTTCCTTGGGTTTTGAAGGGTGCAGATCACGGATTCAGCCTGAGGCTATTCTTAAGGGATGAATAAGTCTATTAAACGGGGTTTGGGGAGGAAACATTCCGGGGCAATTTTTGCCAGTTTCCAAAGGGGTACCATCACCGATTTCGGGCGATTTTATGGAAAGTCCATTTTCCTTGGATTTTGAATGCGACGGATCACAGATTCGGCCTTAGGGTACTCTCCACCAACGATGAAGTCTAGCAATGGCCGATTTGGTCGGAAATTTGGTCGAATTTTTCCGGAGGGCATTTTCGTAATTTTTAGGCGCTTTTTTCGAAAGGCCATTTTCCTTGGGTTTTGAAGGGTGCAGATCACGGATTCAGCCTGAGGCTATTCTTAAGGGATGAATAAGTCTATTAAACGGGGTTTGGGGCGGAAACATTCCGGGGCAATTTTTGCCAGTTTCCAAAGGGGGTACCATCACCGATTTCGGGCGATTTTATGGAAAGTCCATTTTCCTTGGATTTTGAATGCGACGGATCACAGATTCGGTCTTAGGGTACTCTCCACCAACGATGAAGTCTAACAATGGCCGATTTGGTCGGAAATTTGGTCGAATTTTTCCGGAGGGCATTTTCGTAATTTTTAGGCGCTTTTTTCGAAAGGCCATTTTCCTTGGGTTTCGAAGGGTGCAGATCACGGATTCAGCCTGAGGCTATTCTTAAGGGATGAATAAGTCTATTAAACGGGGTTTGGGGCGGAAACATTCCGGGGCAATTTTTGCCAGTTTCCAAAGGGGTACCATCACCGATTTCGGGCGATTTTATGGAAAGTCCATTTTCCTTCGATTTTGAATGCGACGGATCACGGATTCGGCCTTAGGGTACTCTCCACCAACGATGAAGTCTAGCAATGGCCGATTTGGTCGGAAATTTGGTCGAATTTTTCCGGAGGGCATTTTCGTAATTTTTAGGCGCTTTTTTCGAAAGGCCATTTTCCTTGGGTTTTGAAGGGTGCAGATCACGGATTCAGTCTGAGGCTATTCTTAAGGGATGAATAAGTCTATTAAACGGGGTTTGGGGCGGAAACATTCCGGGGCAATTTTTGTTAGTTTCCAAAGGGGTACCATTACCGATTTCGGGCGATTTTATGGAAAGTCCATTTTCCTTGGATTTTGAATGCGACGGATCACAGATTCGGCCTTAGGGTACTCTCCACCAACGATGAAGTCTAGCAATGGCCGATTTGGTCGGAAATTTGGTCGAATTTTTCCGGAGGGCATTTTCGTAATTTTTAGGCGCTTTTTTCGAAAGGCCATTTTCCTTGGGTTTTGAAGGGTGCAGATCACGGATTCAGCCTGAGGCTATTCTTAAGGGATGAATAAGTCTATTAAACGGGGTTTGGGGCGGAAACATTCCGGGGCAATTTTTGCCAGTTTCCAAAGGGGTACCATCACCGATTTCGGGCGATTTTATGGAAAGTCCATTTTCCTTCGATTTTGAATGCGATGGATCACAGATTCGGCCTTAGGGTACTCTCCACCAACGATGAAGTCTAGCAATGGCCGATTTGGTCGGAAATTTGGTCTAATTTTTCCGGATGGCATTTTCGTAATTTTTAAGCGCTTTTTTCGAAAGGCCATTTTCCTTGGGTTTTGAAGGGTGCAGATCACGGATTCAGCCTGAGGCTATTCTTTAGGGATGAATAAGTCTATTAAACAGGGTTTGGGACGGAAACATTCCGGGGCAATTTTTGCCAGTTTCCAAAGGGGTACCATCACTGATTTATGGCGATTTTATGGAAAGTTAATTTTCCTTGGATTTTGAATGCGATGGATCACAGATTCTGCCTTAGGGTACTCTCCACCAACGATGAAGTCTAGCAATGGCCGATTTGGTCGGAAATTTGGTCGAATTTTTCCGGTGGGCATTTTCGTATTTTTTATGCGCTTTTTTCGAAAAGCCATTTTCCTTGGGTTTTGAAGGGTGCAGATCACGGATTCAGCGTGAGGCTATTCTTTAGGGATGAATAAGTCTATTAAACAGGGTTTGGGGCAGAAACATTCCGGGGCAATTTTTGCCAGTTTCCAAAGGGGTACCATCACTGATTTTTGGCGATTTTATGGAAAGTTAATTTTCCTTGGATTTTGAATGCGATGGATCACAGATTCGGCCTTAGGGTACTCTCCACCAACGATGAAGTCTCGCAATGGCCGATTTGGTCTGAAATTTGTTCGAATTTTTCCGGAGGGCATTTTCGTAATTTTTAGGTGCTTTTTTCGAAAGGCCATTTTCCTTGGGTTTTGAAGGGTGCAGATCACGGATTCAGTCTGAGGCTATTCTTTAGGGATGAATAAGTCTATGAAACAGGGTTTGGGGCAGAAAATTTCCGGGGCAATTTTTGCCAGTTTCCAAAGGGGTACCATCACCGATTTCGAGCGATTTTATGGAAAGTCTATTTTCCTTGGATTTTGAAATTTGGCGAACAAGAAATTCGAGCCCTTCCGAGTCCCGATCTTGATGATCGGCGGTGAATAGTACGACGAAGAAAAATGATAAACCATTACACTCCAACTCTTCCCTATATTGCTTGAGACTTACCACTATCCCGACCGTTTCAATTTCCGACAAAGGTATTGGCGGTTCTTCACCGGAAATCGAGCAGAAGACAGAGAAATGGAGAGGAAACTACTGACAGAAGAAAGAAGTTGAATTGATTTTGATTTTGCGAGGTTTTGAAAAGAATTGGCGCTAAACTCATAGGGCTTCGCATTTGGACCGATTAAGATTAGCAGATTTTTTATTTACTGCTTTTGCCTTTCAGGTAGCGCGCGACGGGATGGTGACTGGGGTCATAGGTAAGGTAAATTCTTTTTTACTCCGCCCTTGACCCTGTCTTGATCTTGTCTTACCCGCCATTGAAGGGTCAGGATGTATAATTGACCTGATTCGCTCTTGTTTTCTTTTTGACTCTATGTGATCCTCTAAGATCGAGGCGGGTCTGAAAGGGTTAGGTTAGTGATTTTTTAGGGTCAAGTTTACACTTTACACCCTTGGTCATGGGATGAAACATCTCGTAAGCTAAGGCGATGGCGATCTTGTTTGCACTAGGTTTGGCGGCTCCTTGTTGGATATTGAATCAAATTGTCTGTTTCTGATTCAGAAGATAAGAAGAGAAATGGAATCTATGTCGGAGGTGGATGCAATCTGCTAGGAGATCAAAACCAAGACGTAGGCCGAATTGTAGGGGTTGAGTTTTCTTTTACGGGTCCGGCTTTTAACCAACCTGCCCACATTTTGTAACTGGGAGACGGAGAAGATTTGGCCCGATAATCCCCTTTTTTCTTAGCCCATCCCCTATGTAATGATGCCCAGACTATTTTGGTCTTTTTTCTTCTTCTTTTTTTGGTGAGAAACAGAGAGCAGGAGGAGAGGCGTTGACCATCCGCATGGGAGTAGGGTAGTAGTGTACGCTGTACTGTTATTATGGGCCCGAAAAAGTAGTCTGTTATTTTTATTTGTCAAAGATGGGCTTGCCAGGCCCACAAAAGCAATGAAACTTGGCCGACAAGAAACTGGTGGTGGCCGGCGTTGAACAGTACGAGTGTAGAAAATGATCAACCATCACCCCACCGCAGGGGAGTAGATTTTGTCGGCGCCGTCACCGCCGGCGATATAGGAAAGAGAGATTGAAGATATGGTGTGGTGGTGGAATGAGATTAGTTGTGGTTGTAGGGACAGGATTCATGATAAGAAGATAGATAGGAAAGCATGAAAGGGAATTCTTTATTGGGTTTGATTTATATTTTAATTAGATGACAGATAGGAAGAAGAGAGGAAAGCGACGAGAATGGATGGGGAAGGAAAGGGGGATTTGGGAGATGTTTATTTTGGAACACAAAGGTATCTGAAGAATAATTTTTTAATACAAAAGCCCCAGTTGTTAATTTTTTCACATTTGAATTCACATTAAGTCCATCTTTCGGCTTTTAGTGGCTTCGTTTGGCTTGTGTGAATTTTCTACTCTTACATTTCTTTGCAAATAATGTGACCTTAACTGAACGAAACGAGATCAATTGATTAATAATTGGCCAAGCAGAAAAAGCTACTAACAAAAGATTTAATTAAATGATGTGGCTGTATCCACGTAACTTAATTTTATTGGTTGTGAGTATATGAGAATATTCGGATCGGGGATTATTAAAGGAAATTCGATGGTTTGGTTTGTTCATTATGTACTTTACCACTAAAAAATCCCCCCAGCACTAACTTCCCCCGCCGGCGTCTACATTTCCCCAATTCCACTCGGAGTGAGCCGGACGAGCAACATTACGATGACGAATTGCGGAGGCTCGCCGTGGGCAGATCTTCCCGAGGAGATCATGGAAGCCATCGGCAGCCGCATTGACCACCCAATCAACGTTCTCAACTTCCGCTCCGTCTGCCGTTCCTGGCGCTCCGCCGTCCGTACCCCTGACTTCCACCATCCAATTCCGCCCATTGAAGTCCGGCTACCTTACCCCGGCGACGTCGACGGCGTCCTCGTTCCCTCCACTATGTGCTTCGTGGAGTTTCGCCCTCCTCCGATCCCCAATGGCGATTCGACCTTCGCCGTCGCCGGCGGTTGGCCGGTCAAAATCGAAGAAGCAAGCCACGGCAAGCTACAGCTTGTGGACCCAATTTCTAACCTCAAGCACCGCTACTCTCCGACTCAATATGGCTCGGCCGAGTTTCGCACTGTTCAAATTAGCTCCTCCTTCTGCCTCACAGATCGGGATGGATTCGCAGCCTTCGAGGTGAATAAAGTCGTCGTCTTTCCCCACTCTGCAAATCCCCTGCCTCAACAGCAGAGTGTCACCGTCATAGCCATTTTCCACAAAGGCAGAATAGGGTATTGGAGAAACGGGGACGAGGATTGGACACCGTTAGACGACAGGAATTTCGATTACGACGACATAATCATCCACCGAGGTCGGTATCACGTCGTCGACAGATTTGGGGAACTGTCTGTGATCGATTCGTCCCTGAAATTCGTGGAACCCTGCTCAGCGCCGCAGCTCCTCGACGGCGGCGGCTCCGGCCAGAAGAATCTGGTGGAGTCCGGGAGAGATTTGTATTTGGTGGATAGATATTTGGATGGGAGGAGGAGGAATTGGAAGGATGTGGAGGATGCCATTGCCAGCAGCTTTCACCCAATTCGCCGCTTTGTGGGTACGGGGAGAGGCAGGGGATGGCACCCTAGAGCGGTGGATTTCAGGGTGTACAAATTGGATGAGGAGATGGGGGAATGGGTTGAAGCGAATTCGTTGGGCGGTGATGATACGGTGTTTGTGCTGACGCCGGGGTGTTGTTTCTCGGCTCCCGCCGCACACATTGCCGGCGGGGATAGGGATTGCATTTACTACTCCGATGATGATGTTGATGTGTGCAGGGAACCGTTGAGTACCGACAGCATTCGGGTGTTTCATATGGAGGATCGTAGTATCAAGAAAATGATATCATTGCCTCGTGAATTTCGCGCCGAGTCTTAGGGGTCGTTTGGAAGTTGAGATTTCAAGTGAGGTATTTAGCCAATACATGTAATGATAAGATTAAGTTGTTTTTTTGGTTCAATTTGAGTTAGAATGTATGTATTAGCTTTTTCCTTGCCCACCCACAATCACTCAAAATGAATGATTGTCAATCTCTACAAAAAGTAGAGATTGTTAACAAGGGATTGTCTACCCTACTTTTTACTCAATCATTATCTTTCCAAGCAAGATATTTTCCTAATACTTGCATTGAATCAATACATCAAATAATAATACATGAATTGATTAAATGCATCTATTTGGAGAATCTCAACTTCCAAACATGCCCTTAGTTAGATAAAGAACGAGCCGGAGCCGCCATTGTTGTTTGTAGCTTCACCTGGTTTGTTGTGGACCACTGGTATTGAGTCTGTTCGATTGCTATGTTGTCTGAAATTTGCTACGTATAGAACTGTCGAATAACAATTTCCCGTGGCATTCATATTTCTCCTCCAATCTTTTACTTTGATTTGATCTCTCTGTTCAACTTTTTTAGTGTCGAGGAAACAGAGCCGCTGCTGCATATAGAACTTTTTTAAACTAGCTTTTACCCGACCCGTTGGTCAGATTAACATCGTTTTATTTGTATTATTTATGTTGATTAATATTTATATGTTAAATGATTTGAAATATTTATATAGTCGTTACATGATCTGTAGGTATTATTTGTGGATAGTTAGTTTATATGTTTTTTATTGATCAACTCATCTTAGTTGGAACTTGGAAGACAATATCCCATTGTACTGTGGTACGATGTTTATCTCTACTTTCACTACAAAAATTTGCATATTCAATCTTTTCTTTCTTCCCATTCTCCCTTTTTTATCTGATGACAACATATCATCGTGTCTTTCAACCTATCTTCGATTGAGCGTTGCCCACCACCGCCTATCTCAATCTCCCCACTATCTTCATGTATTTTATAGCTAGAAATGGAGGATTCAATTTCTTTCATCAACGGTCGTGGATACGTTGTCCTCTCCTATCCTTTGCTAGTAGAGGAGTTTTTAAAAGTATATGTGTATAGGAGAGTCTCAAAGAGGGATTTCTTTTATTTTTTAAATAATATGGTAAACTTAAAATGGTACATAAAATATGATAATGTTTACAAATCACCGTTATCAAATAAATTAGATGCATAATATATGCAAAGGTATATATTAGAAATAATGTTTACAACGACACATTTACTAAACTTACAAACTATAATCAAAAGCAGACGATGCAGGAAGTCTATTGAAATATCTCTCGAAGGGGAAAAAGTACTGAGGATTGACACAAATACGCTTGCGGCTTGCGGCTAGTTGAGAGAATAAGAAATTTGAATTGGCAAAAATCTCATAAAATTCTATAAAAAGGTCAGTTGAAATAGCAGAGACACATTCTACAATCTCGGCTTCTGAGACAAATAAGGAATAACCAAGCATAAATTATGTATTTTGATGCAAGAAACTTCAAATGTAGAAGAATGTCATTGCAACATAACTGTTGGAGTTGACAACTTCTGCACACTATGAAGTCCTCTCTACTGGATCCCATGATAACAAACTATAGTCACATAAACCACATCAATGAACCCAGAAGCTTATGACAACAATTTCATTCACAAATGCCATAATACTTTTACCATGAATAGTTGATCTGGTTTTTTAAATGAACTGAAGACAAATCAGTATATTGACCCCACGGTACGATTGTGACTAAATTAAGAAAACAAATAAATTCTGAGTTTCTAGGTTGATCATAGTTTGCATCCACTCTAAAACGACAATAAAGATATACCAAACTTATTCAAGCTATAGTTGGTAGCATCATGAATATTTAATTTGGTGTCACTTATAGAACGAAGCTGGAAAACTTAATAAGAGAAATTGAATCTTGAGCACCTCCAAATGGAGTGAATTCTTCCTAACCCAAAAATAACATTTGAGGGAGTTTCAAGTTGAGATAGAACATTAGAATCAGTTGGTCGTTAATTCGCTATAGAGTTTTATAGACAACAAATGTAAAAGGAAAATACCCAGTTCATAATTCTGTTTAGTATAGATAATAAACACCATTCATTTAGTTATTTACAGTACTTGTATAGATGAAGAAGGTGGGTTAGGAACCATGAACAATAAGGAAACAATCATTAAAGCTTACAGCAAGAGCGAAGTACAGGCTGTAAAAGTATATGCCAAATCTGCCATACCTTCAAATTTTGCAGAAATTGAAGCTCTTCTGGAATCATGAACAGTAAGACATTTCCTTCTGCACCTTCTCCATGTGTTGTTCGCCCAATCCTATTTATTTACTCCTAAAAGCCAGAAATTCAATCTAAATTGAAGATCACCAAGACAATTAACCAATGTGAAGTGAAGAAAGAAAAACACATTGGGCTCACCAGGAGGATCATAATGCACAAAGCAATCCTGAATGGGAGTGGAGGAAGGAGTAGGAGCAGCCGTCAACCGGTAACCTAATGCATCGCGTTACAGAGCCGACATCCATTAGTGGCGGTGGTATGATTATTTCCATGATTGGTGCACCGTAGAGTAGATTGTGAAGTGCAGGCACCTTAGCTCACAGATGAGAAGGGCCTAAGGATTCTTTTAGGAAACAAAAGTATTCCATCATTAGGTGAAATCAACAATACCTATAAGAAGATTTTCATATTGGCTGCAATCTATTCCATTCCCAGTGATCAAACAATTAAGAGTTCCCTTCTGGCATTTACTGGTGTTGATCATGGTCCACATGAACAAAAAGGTAAAAGGCAGTCATACATAGAAAGACACCAGCCCAATTGTTAACCTAACTCGAGTTGCGCCTGAAATTGGGGGCATTGAAGCAGACACCAAATGAAAGAGAGCATTGTTGCAATCAAACATGAGGAACCCTAGCAACATCCATGAAAGCCTCCAATACAAAAAACAACGGAAGAGCCCCTGCATTGACGAGGGAATTGATTTTAAATTAGAGGATTCATCCAATTAGGAAGGTCGTGAACATGGTTATGTTCAATCGATAAATGAGATGTAGGGTACTGAGAACTTACACCGGTTGAAGCAACATCGTAACCGGCCTGCAACGAAAGGGGGAAAGGGAAAAAAGAAGCATCAGATCAAAATTTAGGCGAAGACAGCATCGAAAAGAGAGACTTTGGGCGCAACCCATAAACTATCGAAGGGGAAAAGGGTTGGGATTGAAGTACCCCAGAAAGAATGTGAATGTGGATGGGAGAAGCGTCCCCTCGATCGGCAGTATCGCTAACGCGCGATTTCCCGACTTAGAAGTGGGAAGAGAATCGTTGCAGCTGCAATGAAGACTACTCCGTTGAGAAGACGCCGGTCGCATCATGCCCAGAACCTACCAGTAGAGTGAGGAGTACAAACCAAACTTGTTGATCAATTATGCACAGAACCTACCTGTAGAGTGAGGAGCATTTAGGAGATGTTGTGACTTGTGAGTGAGGAGCATCGATTTTTTGAAGTAGAAGCTACAGACGTCAACCATGTTTGTAGTCTTTCTTCATTGAAGAAATTGCATCCACTAAGCAGAATCAGGGGTAAAAAACGTGTGGGCAAGGCAAATTATTGAAGGAAAAGTTGGTACAGTACAACGTAGCCGAAGTAGTTGTTGAATGGGGAATTGGGAGGCGAGAGATGCAATTCAATCCAGACTTACCAATTGCAATCAACAGAGAGGACCTGGGGCAACTCCGATCTGGAAGGTGCTGTGAGATCTTCTTATAGTGATGTTGCCGTCGGTGTAATGTCGGCCTAAAAGGTAAACAAACACAACCTTGAGGAAGGAAGAGATAGAACAAACCCATCCAATTGAACAGTTGATTACTTCTGATAGTCTATGTGATAGAATCCAAACAAAAAGAAATAGATCCCCTGCCAAAACCCCACCATAGATTAAATCCAGATTCCTTCAAATCGATCGTACAAAAAAAAACTGAAATCAAAGGGAAGAAGAAGAAGAAGAAGAAGGGGACCTTGCAAGTGTTGCCTAAGAGTGCCACCACAAAAACGGGGAATTGAGAGGGCGGGGATCCTTGTAAGTAGAGCTCCGTCGCCGGAAAAAAGGATTGAGGGCGGCATTAGATGCTCGCAAAAAGGGAAGAAGAGTTGCCGGAGGTAAAGGGTGGTAGCACCGTAGCAGTGGAGAAAATTCCGAAGGGAAGCTTTGGAGAACGGGGATGGGTATGCGGTTAGTGCGGCGAGACAATCGGAAGTTAAAAACAGAATCAGAGATGCAATTTGCTGTGGGAAGGAGAAAGGAAACAGGGAAGGACGGTTAAGGTCCCAAAAAGGGGAGAGAGAAAAGGCCGCCTAAACGCCCAGCCAGCTCAGCACCCGCAAATCACTCTAAGAGCAGAGATATTTGAATTGGGAATGCAGTTTTACTTTTCCACTATAAATGATACTGTAGATTTGCTACGTGTAGAACTGTCGAATAACAAATCCTTTCGTAGTTTCGTTGTTTGTTTAGCCCGTGGTGGAATGGGCCGAAACTTGATTTGCCAAAATAAAGAGATTAATAAACCAAGACAAAAGAATGGGCTCAAATTAGTTGAGCCCAATCTTTCAATGATGCCATATTTTTCTTCTTCTTCTTCAGTTCTTCTACCTGCCGAGGATATTTGAATTCTAATGGCGTGGAAAGGGACATTTTTACGGTGACCATCACTAACCCGAAACTGGAGAGGGACAGCCAGACAGACTGTGACACCTTAAACAAATACAACATGGAAATGAAATGAGGTTGTCGTGATTCATGTGTCGACGACCCAGACGAGCAATAAACAATCAATCAAAATGAAACGACGGAAGAAAAGATTCGGATCGAGGATTACGACATGAAACTCCACCGTTAATGGTGGTTGTGCTTGGCACTTGGCAGCTTGATGCTATTGCTACCCACCGCCGTCCACCTACCGCAAATCGACCTCTCCCCCCCAAAAAACCCCAACGCCAATTTCCACTCGGAGGAACCAATATGACGATTCCTCGCGGTGGTTCGCCGTGGGCAGATCTCCCCGAGGAGATGCTGGAAGCCATCGGCAGCAGCATCGACCGACCCATCGACGTCCTCACCTTCCGCTCCGTTTGCTACTACTGGCGCTCCGCCGTCCCCGCCCCTGCCTTCGACCGACTGATTCCGCCCCTGGAAGTCAGGCTCCCTTACCCCGGTGACGTCCACGGCGTCCTCGCTCCCTCCGCCATGTGCTGTGTGGAGTTTCAGCCTCCTCCGATTCCCAATGGCGATTCGATTTCAAATTCAACCTCCCCCGCCGGCGGCGACGCACCGCGGGGAGGCGGCGGTTGGCTGATCAAGGTCGAAGAAACCTCCCGCGGCAAGCTGCAGCTTCTGAACCCAATCTCCAACCTCAAGATCCGCTACTCTCCGATTCAATTGAGCTTGCTCGACTTCCGCCCCGCCCAATTGACCACCTCGTTCCGCCTCAGGTTCCAGCTCGGATGCCCAACCTTCGAGATTAACAAGGTCCTTCCGTTTCCCCCTTCGGCCGCTGCGGCGTCTTCCTCGCCCCGACAGTCGGCTGTCACCGTCATAGCGATTTTCCACGAAGGCAGAATAGGGTATTGGAGAAACGGAGATGAGCACTGGACTCTGTTAGACGGCAGAAGCTTCGATTACGACGACATAATCATCCACCGAGGTCAGTACTACGTCATCGACCGATTGGGGAAACTGTCCCTGATCGATTCGTCCCTGAGATTCGACGAATCCTACCCCTCGCCGCGGTTCCTCCGCGACGGCTCCAGCGGCGGCGGGCAGAAGAATCTGGTGGAGTCCGGGGGAGATCTGTACTTGGTCGATCGGTACTTGAGCGGGAGGAGGAGGAACTGGAAGGATGTGGATAATGCGATTACCAACAGCTTCCATCCGATCCGATTCCTTGTGGGTACGAGGAGGGGAAGGAAGTGGAACCCTAGAGCGGTGGATTTCAAGGTCTACAAGCTGGATGAGGAAATCGGGGAATGGGTTGAGGTGAAGTCGTTTGGGGATGATGGTAGAGTGTTTGTCCTGACGACGGAGTGTTGTTTCTCGGCTCCGGCTGCGCAGATCGCCGGCGGGAAGGACTGCATTTACTACTCGGATGATGATGATTATGTGGCCAGGAACATGATGAGGACGGAGAGCATTCGGGTGTTTCAGTTGGGGGATGGGAGTATTGAGGAAGTGAAATCGTTGCCTCGCGAGTCTAATGTTTTTCTGCCTCCTGGCTTTCGTATGGAGTTTTAGATTATAGAAGCAGCCATTCTTGACTTTGTTGTAGCTTCATCTGCAGGTTTTGTCCACCTCTGGAGTTAAAGTTTGCTCTTTTCTTTCTTCTCTTGGCTCTCGCCATTGATGGTAAAAACTGAAAAGAAACAACCATTACTCTTCAAAAGGTTGGTCTTTATCTTTAACCTTAAGCGTAAAACATTATTGTCAACACTGCAGTGCAGGGGAAAGGGTAAAAGGGGAGCTCTTACAAAAAAAAAAAAAAACAAAGGTTTTTACAGCTCTCATGGGGCAGGCCGATGCCTTGTCAATCAAGAAAATTCCTCCTGACTCCTTAAAAACATTGTTCAGGCAACAAACAAAAAGGCTATGCAAATCAAGAGTGCAAGGTCAAATCTGCTCCTCGATAGAAACACGGCTTACGCTTCAGTTAACCAGACCCCTCTCCTTGAACACGTTGAACATGGCGGTACCAATCTTTGCTGGAGATTCGACTACGGTCACTCCGGCTTCCTTTAGTGTCTTGATCTTGTCTTGTGCAGTTCCCTTACCGCCCGATACGATAGCTGCGTCACACACCAACCAGAGGTAAAATGATTGGAGAATGTAAGAGGAAGAGAACCAGGTAAGAATCGCAATACACCAATCTATACTAGGCGTGGATGAAGTAGTACCTCCAGCATGTCCCATACGACGTCCAGGTGGAGCAGTGAGTCCAGCAATGAATGCCACGATTGGCTTTTCTGTCTTGCTTGCCTGTTTCCACTCATAGCAAACACATAGGCATTCAGTTTCGAGAGTGGGTAGCAAATCCCAAAAAGTCACAGATATCTCATCAAGAATCACTTTTCTGGTTTTGTTTTAGCTAGTGTTGCAGAAAAAGGAGGGCTTATGTTATGCAGATGAAAACCCTGTAAGTTTCACCCCGGGCAGCTCTGGTGATTCAGCCAATTAACTTGTCGCTCAATCTTATTCAAAATCCACCAATCCATGTCTAGTACACTCACAGTTTATCAATTGAGAGTCCGAGAATTCAGCAACTTGACAAACGCAAACACAAATGCAGAATTACTAAACATGCCAGGATTAAAGTGAATCACCTCACGGTATTCCGGATTTTATTTTTCTAAAGATACTTGGGACTAAAGAAAAACTCTAAACGCATCCTAGAGCACATGCTAATTAAGGCAATCCAGTCTATTTTTCCCGTTCACATGCCTATTATCTAGACGTTAAGAAGAAAATGCAGTATACATGCACCACATGAGCAATATACTCTTTGCATGAAGGGAACAGACCTATTGATGACATTTTATTCAAAACTCATACCTTTATTAGAGCAGCAGCCTCCTCTTCTGCCGTACCTCCAATCTCACCAATAAGAACGATACCTGTGAAGGAACCGTGAACAATAATCATCATTACAATTACTTGCAAACTGATATTAAGCTATTGTAATTGTCACTGAACACGGATACAAAATCAGCTAAGCTTTCTAGAAAGCTTAGCAGCAGGACTGTAGGATCTAGTAAGGCATATGACTTAAGGGTTACTTCTAGATTCTTCTTTGTTGATGCTCAGTATGAGTTAGTGATCAGTCCTTTCTCATTTGAACTAATCCCAAATGAATTTAAAACACAGGAATCCTGTAATCAGAAGATATGGTTATGACCAATTCAAGCCTGGGGTTACCTTCAGTCTGAGGATCTGCCAGAAACTTCTCCATGCAGTCAACAAAGTTTGTCCCATTGAAAGGATCACCACCAATACCTACACATGTGGACTGCCCAAGACCAACTGCTGTTGTTTGGAAAACCTGAAAATATATAGAATCAAGCCTTTACTTAAAATTCATATGCATATCACATACTCAATGCATGAGCTTACTGCATCGTATTCGTATATACACAACCACGACATCTATATGTGTTGATAAACAGTATTACCGTCAACAGGTAGAATAGAGAAACGCAACAAGGAATGAAGAACCAAGGCATCAATCTATCATGAGAAATCAGCGACGGGCAATGACTAAAAATTCAACAGAAAGATCAGCACTCACAGCCTCATACGTCAATGTGCCCGAACGAGAAACAATTCCAATACGCCCTGGTTTGTGAATATATCCCGGCATGATTCCGATCTTGCACTCTCCAGGTTTGATAATACCAGGGCAATTTGGACCAATTAGTCTTGTTTTGGATTGCCTTTGAAGTGCAGCCTTCACACGAACCTGTAGCCAACAGAATCCATCTCAGACTGGCAGTAAAGAATAATAATTTAAAGAGAGACATTCAAACAGACAACAGGAAAGAGACATGACGAGATAACAGAGCTACTCCCCTTTAAAATGAAGGTTAAATAAAAGTCCAACAACATAAAAAATATAGGCAAAACACAATCTCAAATAATAAACATGCGATCAGAAAAAAACTCCAGTCAGACCGTGTCTAAGTCATTACAAGATTGATATCCTTCAGCTTCCACTGATTGAAACATACAAAGTTACGTTGGCGAACGTATCAAAGGACAAACTGAGATGGCTAGTGCTGTTCTAAGATTGGCTAATACATCAACTAGCAAGAGGACAGGTTACATAACTCTAGGTAGTAACAGAAAGAGAGGAAAAAAGTTAACAAATTTCAAGAAGATCTTAACACCTCCATCAGCTAACAAAGACAGTCACATTACTGTCAGCAAGGCAGCGAAGTCACTTACCATGTCATGCTGAGGAATTCCTTCTGTGATACAAACAACAAGGTCCAATTCAGCTTCCATAGCCTCCATAATGGCTGCAGCGGCAAATGGTGGAGGAACATAAATCACGGAAGCATTAGCTTTCGTCTCAGCCTTTGCTTCTGCAACAGAGTTGAAGACAGGAAGCCCCAGGTGTTCTGTGCCACCCTTCTTCGGCGTGACACCTCCAACCTGTTTCAGCAGCAATCACAAGGAACGACTAAGAACATTGAAAATACAAGCAACAAATATTGACCCACTGTGAAAGGAGACATAGTAAAACAATCTACCAATTCCATTTCTGAAAAGAAAACAACTCACAACAGCCGCTTCTAGATAGCGAGTAGAAAATGACATTTGTTTGTCAAGATCCTCTGCGTTCTATTAATACACCCCAAGCAGGGAAAAATTGACGAACTGAATTTCGCATTTCTCCACGAACTCGAAATGGGAGCAGACTTCACGAAGCACCACAAAACCATACTCACAACACATGAATACAATGGAAATCTACTCACAGTCGGCACTCACGGAAGGATCACGGCTCGATTACTAAAATAATCTAATGCCGAACCAAACAGACCACCGCCGAAACGTATGGAACCAGTAGCAACGGAGGGAAAGGCGGAGATAGAAAAGTAGGGAGTTTACCATCTTAGTGCCATATTCGATGGCTTGTTCGGTGTGGAAGGTGCCGTTCTTGCCTGTGATGCCCTGGCAGATGATGCGGGTGTTCTTGTCGACGAAGACCGCCGGCGGGGAAGGAGCGGCGGCGAAGGAGCGCGATTGCAACAGAGAACCGGATGATGAAGAGGAAGACGAAAGCGGGGTGATCTGGGGACTGGGAGAGCGGAGCTTGGAGGACAGAGACGCAACCAGTCTGGTGGCTTGGCGAGCCATATTTCCGATCTCTCGTTCTCACTCAGAGCCTGGACGGAGGGAAGAAGAACGGCAGCGCGAGATCTCAACGCGAAGTAATTGGGGGAATAAGTCTTCTTTAGCCTAGCAGCAGGGGAAAGAATGGGAGAAAGAAGAAAGGTTTTGCTGGGCTGTGATCAAAGCAAAAAGTGGAAGTCGTCGTTCCGGACTTTCGCGTTCGATTGACCATTATGCCGGTCGGCCCGGCCCAGGTAGCCGGACTTTTAGCCCAATCACTTCAAGGTGCTCCTGATCAAGCCCATATACAAGTCGATCCCATCTCTGCTTGAAACCCACTATCAATCTAGCTTACTAATTATTTATTTATTTTTATTTTTTTTATAATCAATCCAGCTTACTAATTTGAGCACAAAAGATCACATGAATTTGATCCACATGAATTTGTAAATAGTACTCTTGGCATTTGTTTTTCGATATATGTTTTGTTTTGTTTTTAGTTAGATTATATATAAGAGACTTCTACCGTTCTACGATTACAGATTAGATCGCTTGTCAAGCTTGAACGAATATATTATTAGTGAACTGGATTTTAGTATGTAACATTATTGCTCCACTTTTCTAATGTTACTTGCTTTCCGGATTAGGGTTGGAATAAGAGGAATCGAATTTGTATATAAAAAAAAGAGTTTGTTAAAGGAGTTGTATCTCCATTTGCGGTTCCTAAAAACGAGATTTCAATTATACATATGGGATGAAAACCAAAATCTCTCTATAAAACGGTAACCGAAAAATCTCAACATTTTCAGCAAATTAACAATTTTTCATAAAGGCAATAAGAAAAGAAAAGAAAAAAAAAAAACAATCCTCACTTCGAGCTAAGCACTACTACTTCAACTCAACGGATCTCCTAGGAGCAGAACCACCCTTATTATTATCGTCGTCGTCGACGGCATACTTCCGCCAGAACCAATGTCGCCGGAAAACCTCCCCCATGTCCTCAATGGGCACGTTCCTCGTCTCCGGCAGGAAAAAGTAGATGAACGCGGTCATCACCACCACAAACGCCGCGAACAGGAAGAAGAGCCCGAACTTGAGATGGCACAGCAAGCTGAGGAAGAACTGCCCGATGACGAACGTGAACAACATGTTCACCCCGGCGTTCATCGCCTGCCCCGCCGACCTCAGCTCCAACGGGCAAATCTCCGTTGGCACCAGCCACCCCATCGGCCCCCACGACCACGCGAACGCCATCACGAACCCCGTCACGAAAACCACCACCAGCACCGCCGCCGCCGTCGACAGCTGCCCCGTCCCGCTCGTCCCGAAACTCCCCGCTATCATTCCCCCCACCACCACCTAATCACCCACAAAACAAAACGTCAGAATTATCAACATCATAATTTTTGTATCATAATTAAAAACAACACATTTTTATTTTCAATTTTCCAATCCTTTACGACATAAATTAGCTGCAATCAAACACAAACCCTAACATATCGTTTTTCCCGCTAAATATATAGGGTATACAGTGTAGTCAAAATTGCGGTGCAGAACTTAAAATCTTAAAATTTTAAATTATTAGATTATCAACACGCTTTTTACATAGAATTGTGGTTCATTTACAAGTACCGCCAAAATCTACTTAAAAGTTTAAAGTTATTAAACTTGTAGGTCAAATAAGCGGGGTTTAGGACTTAAAATCGTAAACTTTTAAAGTTTTAGATCATCAAAATGCTTTTTACATAGAATTCTACGTCAAATTCTACAAGTCTAAAAGCTTAGGTTATAAAACTTCCACGTCAAATTCTACGTAAAATTGCGATTTTTGACGGAAACTACGTACCTGACATATGATCATCTGGATGCCGCCTTCGAGGAAGAGCGACCGTCGACCGAACCGGTCGGCGACGTAGATGGAGACAAAAGTGGCGATGACGTTGAAAAAACCGGTAATGAGAGAAGACATCAAAGAAGCGCTCTGACCAAGGCCAAGGGTCTTGAAGAGGACGGGGGCGTAAAACATGACGACGTTAATCCCCGTCACCTGCTGAAAAAACGGGATCAAGGTGCAGAACACGAGCTGGGGGCGGTAACGCCGCTCCGTGAGTAGACGGCGCATGGGGCGGTCGATTTTCTTGGCGGCGGCGCTGGCCCTGACGAGGTCCTCGAACTCGGCGTCCACGTCGTCGGATCCGCGGATCTTCTGGAGCATCTGCTTGGCCTTGGCGGCGTCGCCGCGCTCGAGGATGGAGTTGGGAGTGTCCGGGAGGAAGAGGGAGCCGACGGTGATCATTAGGGCGGGGACGGCGGCGAGGCCTAGGGAGATTCTCCAGCCGTTGCCGCTTGGAATCTTGGCCGTCCAGTAGTTGACGAGGTTGGCGGCGAGGATCCCGATGGTGATCATCATTTGGAAGCCGATGTTCATCGCTCCCCTCCATTTCGCCGGTGCAATTTCGCTCAAGTACACCGGAATCGACTGCACGCAAAAAAAAAAAAAAAAGCATTTGTGATTTCCGTCGCAAATTCATTAGTGGTCGCCAATAAATTAGTAACGATCTTGTGGTCGCAAACAAGCATTTGTGACTAGTTATCTCGTGCAAAGTCAATTGTGGTCGCAAAAAAGTATTAGTAAGGACCTGTGTGGTCGCAAACAAGTATTTGTGACTAGCTATTCGTCGCAAATTATTAGTAACGACTCCCTGGTCGCCAAACGCAATCATAAGTAACGAGCGACCCGGTCGCAAAATCATATATGGTCACAAGAAGTTAGCGACCGTATTTTTACGGTCGGGAAAGGTTTTTGGTTTAATGAAAAGGATGGGGGAGAGAGGGGAATACTTGATTGCAGAAGCCGACGCCGATGCCGAGCAAGAGGCGGCCGACGATGAGCATGGCGACGTTGACGGCGGCGGCATTGATGATGGCGCCGGCGAGGAAGACGAGGCCGCCGGAGAGCATGGACAATTTTCTGCCGTACTTCCTGGTGATGGTGGAAGCGCACATGCAAGCAACCAAGGCGGAGAGGTAGAGGGAGGAGGTGAAGAGGGTGAGGAGATGGCTGTCGAACTTGCAGTACATGTTCTGCTTCTGGTCGGCGACCTCTTTTCTGTACACCGACGGGAAGAACTTCATCAGGAAGGAATCCATCGATGTCACACCTCCTGCCGTAAAAAAAAAAAAATATTTGCACATAATCAAAACCCTAGTTTGATAGGTGTGTTAACAAGGGAAAGAACGGGGTTGTGTGCGTAGGTTAGGAAAACTTTTACGCACCAGAAATACCAAGGTCGTAGCCGAAAATGAGACCACCGAAGGCAGCAACGATGCAAGTAGTGACGATGAAGGCATTGACTTCGCCGCCGTAGGAAGGTGGTCCCCGGCGGCCGGCGGCCTCCTCGTCTCGTGCCATTGTTGAATTGAGATCTTTGGTGGGTTTGGGAGTAAAGTGCAGGGAGAGAAACAGAGATGATTTAAAGGTGTTGTTTGCTTAACCTCGATCTATCTTATCACGCTTATATATAGAGAGAGTTTTTGACTTGTGGGTGAAGTGGGATATCTATTGATTCTCCGGATATATATAACAGAGTTTGTTTGATGATAAATATGTGGATAAAAGGCATCTACTTAATTGTATATTGGATCAGATTAATGCATAGATTATTATCTGTCAGTCGACGTGGGTAGTTTTGGTTCTGTTAGGTTGGAGATTTATCCAAACGGATATAGATTTGGTTTTAGAAACAAACTCTTTATAACAGTTTCTTAATTATCCGTTAAGGTTGTACAGTCACATGGCCGACTTTTTTTCCGGTTCAATTGCACACTCGATTGGAACTTAAGTTAGAAATTAATGATTGGGGCGATCGAGTAAAATCTGGTTAACCCGTTAATGAAAGTAAGATCTCTCAAACTTCCATCTAAATGTATGATGAATTTCATTATTTCAAAGTCAATTAGGTCAGATTTAGAGGTCACAAAAACAAGTTATTACCATTAGAAACATGCAAGTAAATGTACCCGAGGGGCCCGATGACTAAGAAAGAAAAAAAACGTCATATCCTTACCTTAACTTAAAGATATGTGTTGATCGATGACCACCTCTACATGAATAGCTTCAACCCGGTTACAATCCCTCCTTATCTACGATAAACAAAGAAGGACAGTAGGGAATTTGATTGAAATAACTCTCCTACGAGTAGAGAGTAGTCATTGTTTATTATTTTATCAGATGGTAATTTAGATGAGTTGTTATAACAAACCATCTTATCCATAATCTCTCAAAATAAGTCATTGTAGCAAATTGAAAGTAAGAAGAAAAATGATGTACTTGGACATATAATCTCTCTTTAATTTCGATCATTTTCAAATACTTTTGGAGGACGTTACGATAAAAACTCACTGTGTTTTTGAAAATTTTGGGATGGGCATTTTGACATTTATCGTATGTTTGTAGCACTACATTCAAATTATTTCTCATTTAAATGAGCCATACAAATTGTTCGTAAAATTAAATCGAACATTGACGATGTTTACAATTTATCTATTATGATGTACAAACTATTCAGTAACTATATATTTAGACATAACTATGGTGTATTATGCACTTGAAACTTAAGATATATCATAAATCATACCTATCTTTTATAATTCATGAACAAATCCTTAAATTAATACCAATAAGATTACCGACTCAAATTTCATCTTTAGTATATATTATTATATATAATATCTTTTTTAAGGGTAAATACCACATTTGGTCACTGAGATTACTAAATCGTGTTATATTTAGTCACTAGAAAAAATTAATATCAATTTTGGTCACTCGAATTACTAAAACAGGTCACGTTTAGTCACTCTCCCGTTAGCTTCCGTCCAACTTCGGTCACTTGAATTACTTTTTTTTTTATGAATGTCACTCGGATTATTGAAAAATGTCACATTTAGTCATTCTCCCATTAGAATCCGTCCAACTCAGTAATTCAAGTGACTAAAATTTACATTAATTTTTTCTAGTGACTAAA